CCCATCTCTAGGGACAAATGTTGATTTGGCTTTATCTAAGGTAAGCTGCCGCTTTGTCAAATTGTAGCAGCACCTGTCACTGTTGATTTTCCTCTGACTTTCTGACTGTTTTTTTCAGCTTTTTGCAGAGGCTCTGACTCGAAGCTTCTCCTCCAAAAGAAATCATCTCATGTGTCGAGTAAACAGAGAAGCAGAAAATAAGTGGTCGAAAAGGAAAAAAAAAATTGTTCCCGTTTTCACGCCCCCTTGCCCATTTCAGCACTCACACCCCTAGTCATCCTTTATTTGTGGTTTAAGTGCTTTGGCATTAAATCTTATTATTTTTTTTCTTGTACTAAATAAACCAGTTTCTGGGTGGAATTACACACAACTTGGTGTGAGGTCCTTTTTTTTTTTCCAGAATGGGGCCTGGATTCTTTTATCTAAAATGTTTTCTATTTCTGCTTTTGTGAGACACTTTTGACCGCTTTGGAAAAAAAAAAAACAACAAAAAAAAAGAAGACACCAGGTTTTTCATGTGTTTCTGGGGGTGAGGTTGGGGATTTTTCTCAGCATTGTGGTGAGATTTATTCTAAGAGGCTGCATTTTTTTCCTGATTTCACTCTTTGTTCTCTGTAAGTAGTTCCAGGTCCCTCCACGACCCCCCACTGCCTCCCCTATTTCACACACACATACCCACACCGAGTTACGTGTGTGTGGCGACTCAGTGCTTTTCCACGCGGGTGTGTGTGTGTGCCAGAGGACCCACATGTGTGACTCTATGAGCATGAGGTTGAGGCGGGGGGCTTGATGTGACACCTGCTGTTGGGATGAATAGGGTCAGTGGCAGGGCCCTTCAGCAGGCAGCAGCTGCTTGTTCTCACTACAAACCCTGACTCCCTCAGTGCATCAAAGGTCTACAACTGAAGCCTTGACACAACACATATAGTGCCCTCTACCATCATCTCCTCTACTGTTATTCTCCTCCAGCATGGCATTTCTCCCTCTGCTTGGGTCAAGGGGCGTAATTGTCGCACATGGAAAGAAACTTAAAATTGATCTAAGGAAAACATAAAAAAAGCTTCAGTTTCGCTCCAGTGCTCTCTGAATGCAGGAAGGTTTCCAGACAGCTGCTGACAGACAGGATTCTTGGTATTCCGTTGGCCTGACCTGTCTGTGCTCTCTCGCTGTGTGGTAGTCTGCCCTGCATGTGACTTGGATGGTCTGAAAACTTTCCCCCGTGGCACAACAGAGAGAGGATGAACGGAGAGGTACGCAAACATCGTTTTGTTTATTAGCCCCCCACAAACGCAGCCCATCTGTTCCAGGTGTGTCATCGATTTTTATTGGAAAATACAGTAAGAAAAGCACCTTCAGTATCTTCTCTGATCCATCCACCAGAGGTCAGCCTTTTATTGACAAATTCTCAGGTCTGGGATCGCACAAAACTGCATTTTTTTCATCACACAACAACAACAACAACATAAAAAAAGAATATTTCATGCCTTACCAGTCATTAGAAATGGCCTTTTGTGTTGTGCCTCTGGAGCACTGGTGAGGACGCTGGGAAACATCCAGTGTTTCATTTCAGCTCTACATCCAAGAGAAACACAAGCAAGGTGCGGCCTTTGTTTTAATTGGTCCTGAGTGTAGTATCCCAAAGGTGTGCACAAAGTATAAAATAATGACCCTTCTGCAAGGATAAAGATCAGAAAATTCCCATCTGAACCACATAATATTACATCTAAACTGGATCTATGAACACTTGTCCTTTGAAAGTCTCTTAAATTGATGTTCATTGTTTCCAGTTCTCCTTTTTTGAGGCATGATGGTTCCATAGGGATCTATGGGCTTCATCCTTTTGGAGAGTTTGTAGTTGAAGTACATGACAGCCTTAGACTGTGGGGTCCTCTTGAGCCTGCAGGTGCGCCCGTTGCCAAAGTAATCGTCTGAACAGTGGCAAGTGTAAGAACCGACCGTGTTGATGCAGCGAGCATGACGGCTGCACTGGTGACTTCCAATTAAACACTCATCTTTGTCTGTGGGGAAGAAAAGAAGTAGAGATTAGAAATGCATCCTGATCACGAGAGCTACTGTGACTGCAAAGCACCTGGGTTTGTCATGACTCAGAAGAGATCATCATCCCAGGTTTCTTTGCCAGATTTCCACATTGAAATCTACTTCACACCTTTAAAATGGCATTTTCTTGCAACAGAACACCACAATTTTAGGTGAGCAGATGTAAAGAAACAGACAGATCACATGAAATGGTAATTAGTCTTTAGTCACCAGTCCTTAGCTTGTAAAAACAATGTCACGCCTGCCTCCTGATGACAAGACCTTAACATCACGAGTGGTTTATCATCTGGATGTGAGCCAGGTCTGGCAATGATGGCATTGTTTTAAAGATGAAATACCACAACTGGCCCAGTTGTGGTTTGGTTTATGTGGTGCTGGCGCCATGCATGAACCGCGAAATGGCTGCCATTCACTGACTTTCAGTGTATTGTATGGGCCAGAACTGGACAGATTTTGCCATTTGACCTCACTGGCCTGCAAATACTTGTTTTCTTCATCTAAGAGATTTCAGTTTAAGCTGTGATCTGAAGGGAAAAGTGGGCAGGGTCAAAAACAGAAATAGCTTAAAAGGTTTGCAAGGGTTCACAGTTTGTTTGTGTTAATCACAGAGCCTTGTGATGCTAGAATGCTGAATGTACGGTGCAACAAATTCACTTGAAATGATCTTAAAATGGTCACCGAATTGGCCGTTTTCTCAATGCAATGTTCACGAGTCAGAAAATGGGAGAAATGTGAGGTTAACTTTGGGAGAGTCTGGCAGTTTATGAAGCCAATTTGTGACTGCTTGAAGACGTTAATCACATGTATGAATACCTTTTAATGAGAAATTGCTCACAAAATGAACAACTTTCTTTAGTTTCTTTCAAGCAGATACTGTAGATGTAAATATGTGAAAAATGAAGTTGACATCTTGTCTCATAATTTTTTCTTGCCAAACCCCATATTGGTCGTAGGGTACCGTAAAAAAACTAGAGCAATTGACCTCAGTAGTTTTGAAAACAAAACTGTGTAATAATCAACTGTTCATATTCTGAAAAAAAAAAAAAAACAGAGAAGTTACACTGACATATAAAAATAAACCAGATTGTCTTGATGATAAATAAACACTGCAAATGTTTGGCGCAAGAAAAAGCCTCTTTATCTCTTCAAACCTGTTTGAAAGATGATTCTGCCTGGCTCATCGTACAGATGAAAACAAAAACAACTCGTGGGTGAGTCCACAGCAGAGTGGGTGAGCCACAAGTACTCATCAAATAAACATGGGTGCTCTGCTGCCAAGTACATCTCCACAAGACCCCCTTCTTTCGCTGCCAATTAGCACAGATGAGAAGAACATGTGGGGATGTGCTGGGATCCTTTCAGTCGTTGTGCAGCCCAGACAGGGAACAGATCTGAACGTGTCGAGAAGAAAAAAATAAAAAAAATCCTGCGGCTCAGTGGTTTTCCGAACATTTCTGGTTTGAATTGAGCAAGAAGCTTTAGCTGCCACGATCTCCACTTTGCCAGCTGCAAATGTTTTATCGAAAGGCTAAAGGAAAAACGTTTTCTTATGACTTGACATTTTGTTCCTGAGCACACCGTAACTGTATGGAGGAATTCTGAAAACCACATCTGTCACTTTAGATGTTGGAGGATTATAAGATCCAACACGTATTTTTTTACAATAAATAAATATAGTATATATGTATCAAAGAAATCCACAAATTTTAAAAAACTGAGAATTTTACCTAGACATATCAACAAATATTAATGCAAAATATCAACAAACTTAATGATTTTGATGGCATGCTGCACTGTTTTGGTCAAACCTCGCAAAATGATATTACCAGCTATCTCATGCAATATCAGAAGATCTTGCATGATGTGTTATTAGTGTTCAAAGTATATATTGTCAACGATTCTTAGCTAATACCACATCAGATTTCATCTCGATGTCTGTAAATTTGATGATGTTATAGCCATTTTAGAGGCTGAAGTGGATTGGCTGCGGAGGACATCTTGAATTAGATAAACTCCAAACGTTAATAAGTTGTAGGTGTACATTCAACATTTATTTTCAGACAGTTGACTCTAAAAGTTAATGATGAAATTTTAGGCCAAGACGTTGAACAACGATTAGCCGTCAAGGACAGTATGGGTTTTCAATTACTTAGCCACTAACACATCCATTTTATGCAGCTTGAAATCTGTAAATTTATCCAGCTTATACCCATTTTTGTGTTTGCCAAGATAATTTAACTGTACCCATCTTGAATGGTTGCCTCTAAAAGTTAATCAGGTGTAGATAGACATTTAATGAGAATGTTGAGATTTTCATTAAATCTGATTAGATAGTAGCTGAGACTCATTCAGATTGCACAAGAAGTTGCATTTTGCATCATTCTGTGCATAAGAGTGTTTTCATAATTGACCCCAAATGGTTACAAGTGTGTCATTTCTCAATATAAAATGATCCTAGATAAAACCTCCAGCATGAAATGCATTGGGTGCACTTAACATAACTTTCGTTTAGATGGATGAAAGCAGTATTTCAAAGAGAAAAACCATAATGAACCCACAATAAATTGAATTAAGTTTTCCTATTTATAAAGGTAAAGGAGTTGTGCATCATTCTGATGCTTGGGTTTTTAAGTATTTTTCTTCCTTACCTCGACATTCCACAGAGCCGTGCACAGTTCCCATCACAAAACCATCCCGGCAAACACAAAGAAAACTGCCAAAAGTGTTCCTGCAGGTCCGCTGATGTGGACACACATCAGGATCCTGACACTCGTTGACGTCTGTGAGACAACAACAAAATAAAAACAACAAAAACTGCAGTTGAATTGTCAATTTTTTACATTTGCAAAAACTCACACTAACGTTTAATTTAGTTAACTTGAACGCACACAAATGCATGTCTTTTAAGGACTGAGCACTTTTGTTGCCATTTCTTAAAACAACAAGTACTCTGTGACATGAAGCTCTGAAATGAATGCTGCTGTGAAAAAAAACAAGAATAAACAAATAGGGGAGACGGGGGATGATTGTAACGTGGGGTGAGTTGTAACGCCACCAGTTCAACAATTTAGAGAGCAGATAGAAGTCATGTGATTATTTCAATATTAAGCCACTCACTTCCCAACCTTACATGGAGGATATCAGGATTGAAATTTGGTGTGTTCAAATTTTAATGAGAAAAAAAATGATTTTGAGGTAAGGAAGTATTTTTATTTATTTTTTTTTTTACCAAATGTTTATTTGATGCCTATACAGTTACATCTAGAATCATAAAACTGACCTAAGTTAAAAAGGTATCTTCTCAAGCAAAATGTGATGATTTTTCCTCAGCTAGTTTCAAAGCACAATGCTAATAAAGCTAACAATGGCTGACAGGTGTGGGGTGGGTTGTAACACTATAATACAACTCACCATATCTGTGCAGAAAGAATGCCATATACACACTGATGAGATAATGCAAATCACTACAGACTGAGGGAACAGGGATCCATTTATCTTACCAGTGTTTGTTACAGAACTAGCAAAGTTTTCTGAGGCACAAGAAAAGATCTTATAACTATTTGACTCTAGTAGCAGACTGCTATGGGTTGGCCCCGCTTGACTGACAAGTTCGCCAGGGGAGAGAACTACTTTATTTGAAAAAAGTGACAAACATTGTTCTGGGTATTCCTCAAGTAATCTTGTTGTAAAATGAAATCCACAATGTAGCCTCTACTTTTGCTTCTTTTGGCTTATTGTTACAACTCACCCCAGCATGTGTTACAACCTACCCCACTAGGTAAGTTGTAACAAAAAGCATCTGTGTTTTTGACATTAAGTCACCAAATCTGTGATATACTTATAGGATTTTCAATCAGTACCATTTGTAAAGACACGTGAGCATTTTGTACAACAGTTTGAGAACTCTAAAATCAAGGAGAGATATACTGTATGGTACACCCGCTTCGGATGTTATCAGTCTTTTAAATGGACGTTATTAGCAGTCATCAGTCCCATTGAATGGCTTCAAACTGTCAGCTGGTTAGAATGAGGCATGAAGCCACTAACGTTAATTTTAGAGAAAATTGCCTGGGCTAGGTTAAAGTAGACCGTCAGATTGTTGCCTTCCAACGTATTAGTAGGTACAGGGCCTGAAGCCATTTTATGGATAACCCACTAGGGGGCACATTCGGGACAGTTTGAAGCCAGTCTATGGGACTGATAACTGCTAATAACATCCATTTAATGGACTGATAACATCTGAACCGACATTATGGTAAAGCAAAAAGAGTTACAACCATCCCCGGTCTCCCCTACTTCAGCTCTAATTAATAAAATTCAAAATGAACTGATTTTAGGACTTTTTATTTAAATAGTGAGCATTGTATCTTCAAGATAGCTTCATTTTTTGTTTAAAAACACCAAAACAAAACAAGAGAATGTACTAAAATTTTTACTTCCTCCTGACTAAGACTTTGATTTGCTCCCACCCAAATTATACCCACAGTGTGAGAATGTCTCACTCGCAGCTGTTAGTGAGGTTCTTTTTATTACAGGACAGGAGCTGACTTAGCCAGGATCACAAAGCGAACTCTGATAAAGGGCCAGAATGGGTTTTTTGTTAATTAGAGGCCTTTTTACAATCGGTTGCTACAAGTGACTTTGCTGCAGGCAGTTGAGCTCATGTGGTAGGTAAACAGTGCTCTTCAGCTGTTTTTTTTTCCCAAATAAACACAGCAAAACATATAAAGTTCTTCTACCTTATTATTTATGACACCACTCGGTGAAATGTGAGTTGTGTCCTTGTGGATAACCCCCCACTGGTGATTTTTTAAAGGCAGGCATCAGTAGACACTGGTGAGTTCCGAGCAAGCTCAAAAATAATTGATGAACAGTCACAGCACAGAACAACAAGACAATAAGACACAAGAAAATTTATTGTCTCACTGGGAAAACTTTTTTTCAGCCAAGTTGTTTCTTGCAAATCACACCAACAGAGCTACTTCTGTGTCTTTTTCAAATTTATCTCTTGGTTTTGTTGATTATGTAACATTTGTCATATATTTACTCTCTTAGAAATACGTGCCAAGAATATCAGTATGACAGCAAAACAAATCAGGTTTATTCATATTCTACATTAATATTTGCTAATATGTCTGGTTATAGTTCTCATTTCTTTAATTTATGCTAAATCCAAATATTTGAGAAAGCACATGGGCAACAAACCAATTGGTTTTTGGATTATTATTATAGGATACTATTCTGTTCAATTTGAAGTAATCGGTCAAATAGTCAGATATTATCAGCTTTACATCAGCCAGAGCACAAAGTATGAAGACAGAGGTTAATGTCTTTATTCAGGCCAGGCTAATGGCAGGTCAAAGGAGTGCTAATAAACATTATTATGTTGTTTTTAGGCGTATAAAACAATTGTTTCTCAAAAAACAACATATTCAAATGTGATACATAATATAATATTGTGTTATTCTTTTACACCGGTTTGTTGTTTCAAAACCTGAGGTTCGACCTTACACACTGAGCTGAAAAATAAAGAATGTAAAAATCTAATGTAATTTTAGCCTAACAGCATAACCATTTAGATAATGTTTGTTGCCATATCCTCAAAGCAGTGGCGGATCTAGGATTTTTCAGTGTAAGGGGCCACAATATTCATAGAGGGGCCAATTATTTGTTCAACGTCCTTGCACAGAACTCCCCTTTTTATAAGGTTTATACATTTATTCAGTCACACGTGTTCAAACACTTGTAAAAGCTTGCGCAGTAAATTCTCCTAATAAATTTACATGATTTTTACTGTACACAAATAAAATACTCTCAAACGCACAATGTGAGAAAATCTAGCCATCCTTGTCAGTAAAAATAACCTTTTTCTACAGGATTGTTTAAATTGAAAAAACTTCTGTAAGCTTGCTTCAAGTTGACTCTTTAGCGCCACTAGTGGTTGGAAGTGGAACTGCAGCCACCATAATTGTTTTTGAACAAGGACAGATGAGTGAAAGGACAGGGGCACTTCAGGGGGCCAATCAGATTTCAGATGGGGCCAATGACCCTGTGGCCTCGCCCCTTCCTCAAAGCAAAATAGTTATTTTCAAGTTTGGTTTGTAGCAGAAATGTGAAGACAAGAAGTTACCTGGATTTGTTAATCTTGCAGTTTGTGTACTGTATTTACATGTACAGTCTACATAAACATAAAGTAAGTGGAAAACTTAAGGGGTCGTGTGTGCAGAAGTTAGAGATGGTGAGCCCGGGATCGGAAGGTCGCCAGTTCAACTCCCCAGACCGACAATAAATAAAAACCCTCGTTTGCCACACTCTGGGCCTGTGAGCAAGGCACTTAACTCCTTCAGCTGCTCGTCAGACATCTCAAAGCGGCAGCCCACTGCTTCACGTGTGCTCACATGTGCAATGGGAAAAATGCAGGGAATTAATTTCCTCACTGAGGGACAATAAAACTACAACAAAAAACTTAATGGCTGCACATGGTGGGGATGGGGACTGGTAGATCAGTCTTCTTCTCTTGAGTCACATCTGCCCCTTGATCAGAGAGCCACATCATTGACAGTCAGACATGTTTCTTTAAAGAAACTACCTTCACAGGTCCTGTTATCAACAGCCAGGTGGAGGCCAGGGGGACACAGGCACTGACCCACTCCCACTTTCTCCAGCTGGCAGCCAAACTGGCAGCGCAGAGCGAAACATGTGGTCTCTCCTGGAAGACAGAGAGGGAAAACCTGGCTAGGGTGGGAGCCAAAGTCAGAGACACACTGTCCATTCACCAATACCTGAACTAATATAAACCAAAATCAAACATTTTCCATAATTCACCTTTGCTTCACTAATCATCATTTTTATTTAGATCAATATATTTTTGAGAAACTTGTTATTGTCTTGAAAATGACCAACACTTTGTACAATATTGTGAGACGCTTAGAGTTCAAGACTCATCATCACATCATTGTTTTTTTCTATTGAACTGATTGTAATATAGTTTTTTTCTTTCTTTTCTAAAACAGTAGAATTGATTTGAATCCAGATTAGATTAAAATAATTATAATCTAAGAGTTTCCTATGGCCTATGGGATATTTTGCTAACAAATTAACAGAGCTGTCTCCATTGATTAGTTGGCAAAGTGTCACCCAGTGTGTAGAGCTCAGCACACCAAACTCAAAATCTCGAAATGTTGATCTGCACATCCAATGAGTACTTTCTGGAAACCTCATCAAATTCCAAGTAGTGACTCATGAGATTTTTCTTTTTTTATTTTTTTGCTTACAAACACATGAACACACAGGCACAAACAATTAACTGATTGCTCACTGCTGAAATGTTTTATGATGTATTTTTTATATGTGTGTCTGCACTGCATATTTGAAAAGGTAATATAAAAGAGGAAATTACTCACTGACACAGGTGTATCCATCTGCACTGAGTGTGTACCCTGGTTCGCAGTAACAGCGATAGCTACCGGGTGTGTTCACGCAGCGTTGGGAACACAGTCTCTCCAGCAAACCGCACTCGTTCACATCTGGAGTTAATACGGAACATCGTTTAAGCAGTAGATAGAAATCCTCACAGTAAATGATCCAGAAGGACACAGGTAATGGTTGAGAAATTGAAAACATGAGTCTGGCAACGGTCTCAGGAATTACACTCCACCTTCATCACACTGTGATCCTTCATACCCTGGGAAGCATGAACACTTGTCTCGTCTCACGCATTTTCCATTTCCACAGGACTTCCTGCACGCTGCTGTGGAGCACAACAGACAGAATATGAAGCGAAACATGTGGAGGCCAGTGACTTATGTAAACTACAAAGAATAAAAATATAAATCAAATAAAATCAATAAATCATTATTTTTCTGCTGTGCAACAGTGAAAACTAAATAGTAACAATTGAACGCCTCTCTTTGCATCTAATAGACACAAACCAATATGAGCATTTGTTCAGGACCATGTGTCTCATCTGGTCAGCAGGAAAATACTCAAGTATTTGCACTGAGTACAGTTTATTGTGAGCAGCTATGGGCAAAAAGTGTATAATGAGTTTTGTCAAGGCAAATATACCCTAAAAAAGGAAGGCAAATAAAATGAAACATTCCCATCACTGTCAAATGGTATTTGCAAGAGTCAACAATTTGGCAGTTTTGTTGAGAAAATGTGCGACAGTTGCACCTGGCAAATTTTGGCCCAAGTTTTGTCAAGGTTTGTTTGGCATTTGTGAAACAATCGTGCAAAAATACACAAATGTGTCAATTCAGTGTGATTCCAACTAAAAAATTGTGGGCTTTTTTTTTCAACAGATTTTGTGTCTTGGACTTGTCGCAGTGAAATACTTGCTTTAATTTTAGATTGTGCATAGGTAAAACAAGACCAGGCCAGTCCTTCTGATGGAGTACCAATCAGGAGTTGGGTTAAAAAAATGGACAAATGAGCCTCCATTTCCCCTCACAATAACCTGTAGTGTAGTTGCTCTTTCAATATTTTGTCAAACGTCTTACGCTGGCAAATGCCATCGACGTTCCTCCATTTAAAAGAACAGGAAATAGTCCGATTAAATTTGCTGAGTCCCGTCTTTGTGTGACCCAATTTGTCCTGTCTACCCTCCACAGACCTGTGACGGCAGAGACAAAAGATTCTTTTAAAAGCCTATATTATTGAAAACCAACCATTTATATTATCAATCAAAAAAATACTTTGACAAACACTTACCTCCTCTGATGAGCTAATGAGAGCAGAATAAAGTGCACCATTACCATAAAAACTTGTCTTGCTTCAGTCATTTTCTTCTTCTTCAGTTTTTGTCGTAAACCTTAGACATGCTAGTTTCTTCTTTTAGCCAACTTCTTCTCTCCGTCCGACAAGAACTGTGTTCAACGAACACTAAATTATTTGTGTCAGTGTTTGTCAGAGGAGCGGAGGAAGCTCACGGGCTGTAATTGCAGGTTGCTGACCGTAAGAGGATGGATCCGTGTGAAGAAAGACAAATACAGAAGAACACACAAAGGTTGGCAGGAAGATCACAAAGACCTCTTACAGCCATGTACCTTTGTCTATTACGCTGAATGTGACTGCAAAAGGAGTTTTTCCAGGTTAACCGGGTTTAATGTTAGGCGTTTGGAGGTAAATAAAAAAAAGAAGGTGACTTGTTTTAGTGACGAGGATAAAAATGCTCCAGTCTTAAACCTTGAAATGTTTTCCAAAAGCTGGGACTGAGATTTTGGGGTCGGAAATAACTGCTGGCAGCCTGAGGTGCCTTTGAAGCCTTAACTATTACCAGGGCTGATCAGAGAGCAATCAATTTTGTTAAGCTCAAAGGCTGAGTCCATGTTTGGGGTGGTCCACTCACTGGGCAGACACACACACACACACACACACACGCAGTTGTGCATCCATGACTTCAGACATTTTCTTTGACTTACATTCACTTCCTGGAGGTTTCTTTTAATCTTAACCATAACTACTGCTTGCCCTGCCCAAACATTACCCAGACCTTAAATCATGTCTTTACGTGAAAATATAATGATTTATGAGATGGAGACGTGTTTTTATGTGCACGTTGGCAAAGACACGGCCTCATAATGTGACTGTGCAAACATATTTAGGCTCCCACAACACAAATTACCTGCACCACAGACCCAAACACACACGGACACATCTTGATTTAATGCTGCCAGTTTTCAATGAATAAACACCAGGAAAAAAAATGCATCAAAGAGCGTGCAGCTTTCACACCAAAATTTGGTAAATGGACAAAATTCAAAAAGTACAAAAACATTTAAATTTTTGAAACCATGCACTTTTCTGCATTCTTTCTTTATGCATCCTATTATAAGGGATACGGTGCAATGCATGTGCTGCTTGAAATGCCTTGACCATACCATTAATAAATATGCAATATGAAATAGATGTACACATGTCAGAGATGGAGGTAAACTGTTAAACTTTATTTATGTTGTCAGAATGTTCTGGCCTTTGTCTTAAAAACAGTGGTCCATCATCAGTATTGATGTCAAGAAATGAGTTGCTACACATCAATGGAGTATTCCAGACATGTTGAAGATGAATTTGATAAATCTGGGCATCATATGGACGAGGTTGTCTCATATGGCTGGCATGGCACAACTCAGGAAACAACTGTGAAATAGCCGACCTTTCAGCCAGCTCCCTTTGAAAGGCTCCGATTGCAAGGAGACCCAGAGAGATTAGGACTTGAACCGGTACAGTGCAAGGTTCTTCCCAGTTTCCCTGTGAAACACTGGGGCCCAGGTCAGTGCAGTATTCTGAAAAAAAAAAAAGGCTTTAAATCAGATAATTTAGCTATTTATGGGCTCATGTCAGTGTCAACACATGCGTCCTAAAATCTGTATTTTAAACATTGTGAAAACAGTATGTAGGTACACAATGTCCCAACGTTTTCGGGGTTAGGGCTGTAAACCTCTCTGGAGAATTGCAGACTATACTTACATGCCCAGCTATTCAGACTTAAGACAGTATTCCATTGGTGCTGTTTATGTTGGACACTTTATTTATATTCCCTATAGTTCCAAGAAATGAGTCACACTAACATTACGTGTCCTTGTGCCACTGTGATGTTTGTGCCTATCCAAATCCTAAACTAGTCCCTGTGTCTCTCAAAACACAGACTGTTACTCTGATTTTCCTTTCACTCCAAAAGTGTGGCTGTTCTCAGCGGCAGCTTTACCATTCTGAATGCCCGAAGCAACCATTGCTAAGTAATCAGTTTCAGGTGAATCGACTGACCGAATAGTCATCTCTGATTGAGTGAATTCACACCTGACTGGTTAATCCTTCCCCCAAATTATTTTAGGGGTAGATTTAGACGGTCATGTCACAACACAGCTTTCTGCTTGTTTTTGTCAAACTAATAACACATTTTAATCATATTACTATTTTTGACATTAACACAGTTCATTAGTAAGATGAATAACCGAAAGCTGAGTGAAAGCAAATACAAGACTTTAACCTATAAAACTCCAAATAGTAATAATCTTTTCAAATAGGATTCTATAGCTCTTTCAAGACATCAGTTTGGAGAAAAGAGTTTAGAATTCAAGTTTAATTCTGACAAGCTATCGACAATTCTGAGCAAGTTCAAGTGGCTTGTTGTCTTTAAACAATTATGATCTGAAGACAGCAGTGTTTTATAAACTTTAATATTGCCATAAATTTTACATTACATGTTTTTTTTTTCATAGAAATCCATTGTATTTTACAGAAGATGATTAGGTCCACAGATATATAT